TTTGGTCCCCAGCCAGGGAGCTACCCACATGGCACAGCAGACCGTTCCTGTCTCTCTGCTGTGCCCCTCAGCAGTGTATTTCAGTCAATCTGCCTGTTCTGCTCCCCACCCTGTCTCTGGTGAATCCTCTCACCCCCTGCACCTCTGGCCTACACCCCAGTTCTTGTATGCATAAATAAATAAAAATAAACCTTTAAAAAAATAAAGATATTAGGAAGTCCCTCTGATACCCCCACCCTCAGTTTCCCAGGCCCCTGGCTTCCCTGGGGTCACATGGTGCTATGGGGTCAGGCTCTGGCCTCCCCTAACTTTGGGCAGGTGAGTAAAGAGTGATAGACACACACCTGCCTTCCTGCCTTCATTGTCTCCTAAAACTGGGGAGAGCAAACCCCCATCAGCTGTTGAGTGGTCAGCGGGGGGCATTACACAGTAACGACACTCAGGGATAAGAAGGGCCCACCAGCAAAGCAGCTAACTGGCGGGCCACCCTCATGCTGAAATTGGCCGTCAGAGAAAGAAGACCCCTCTCTCCTCCACCACGCTGCTGAGCCTTCCCCAAGGCACTGCTTCCTCTGGGCCTGACCGCCCTCCTCACCTCTGCAGCTGCCAGTGTTCTCCCTGTCCCGGCTCTGCAGCCTGCCCAGCTGTGCAAGGGCAGCCTCTTCCGGCAACTTGCACAGCGGAGCGTGGACTCTCATCCAGGCCCATCTCCAGCGGGCAGCTTTGTCCTGGCGGCGGCGGCATTTCCTCTCCTGCCTGCTGCCCTCCCTCGCACGCCTGGTGCGGTAACGGGGACCTCTGCCAGGCTTGAGAATGAACACCCCCGTTCACGAATGCCGGCCTCGCCGCGCGGCTCTCCCACGCTGGTCAGGAGAGGCCCGCGCAGGCCGGGCTGAGCTTATAGAGAAGCTATTGGGCCACAGAATTGAAAAGACCTGGATTCAAGACTGTCACAGACTTCCGTGTCTCCACAGCGCTCTGTGCTGGCTCTGGTGCTCCAGGCCTGCCTGCCGCCTGCCTCCTGCCTCCTGCCTGCCTCCTGCCCCCTTCCTGCCTCCTTCTTCCCTCTTCCTTCCTCTTCCTTCTTCCTCCTTTTCCTCCCTCCCTCCCTCTCTTCCTTCTATCTTGTCCTGCCTCTCTCTGCTCCACTGTGGTTCTCTCGCTCCCTCCCCTCTGCCACTTTCCTCTCTCTAATGCCTGTTCCCTTCTAGTGTCCCCAGGAATCCCGTGGATACACCATCTCCCTCTTCCTTAAGTCAGAAAACAAGAGAAAAGACCAGAAAGTAATAAAAACCCTCAAACACACGGACACCCCTGGGCCTAGGATCCAAAGCCCCTGGTTTCACCTGTTATTTCCTATTGTGTCCACCGCTCGCTTTCCTAGACCCGCCTGTAGCTAGACCCGCCTGTAGCTCACAGCACTCAGCCCAGGCCCAGGCCCCAGCCCAGGGGCCGCCCCTCCCCGGAAGGCTGACACTTGGAAGGGGGAGTCAGAAGGGCGTGGAGTCAGCAGAAGCTGGTATCAGGAGGCAACCAGCCTCTAGAGGGGCTGCAGGGAGCCTTAGAGCCTTAGAGTTGTTAATTCTCCCTCCTGGTTTTTATGCCTTTGAGGCTTCAGACCTAGAACAAACTCCCACTCCCTCTCCAGGGCCCTCACCCTCGTCAGTGTGGGTGACGGAGGCCGGAGGCCGGGGCTGGACCTGGAGGCTGGGCGGAGATCTGGTCCGCATCAGCCTGGCTGATGCCAATTAAGACTCAGGGATCCCCTGCACCTAACCCTGGGCCCAGATCAAAGCCTTGGCCCTCAGATGAGGGGCTCCCGATCATAAATCTGAAGGCGTAGGGCCTCCAGCTAACGAGCTGTCCTGGCTCAGGCCAGAGTGGGATTCTGGATCCTTTTTCATGGAGCAGCCAGCTCAGAGTGAGGGGTCAGGGGTGACCTAGACTCCAGAGCACCCAAGCCCCCCCACCCCAGCACTGGGCTTTGCTTAGTAAATCCTGGGGTCCATGTCCAGGAGGGGATGTGAGGAGTCACACACCAGCCCCGGGCGGTTCCGGCCCCACGAGGCCCCAGGACTGCTCTGTGCCCATTGTCTGGCCCCACAAGAATTTTAACCACTAACATCTGGTTTCAGGAGACTCCGGAAGAGCAAATGTCTTCACCTCCTTTGATTCCCTTCACACAGAGGGCTTTTAAAATTTTAATTTGAGGTGACCTCTGACCTAATTTCCCATTCCCATAGATTCCAGATATTTCCTGTGCCCTCAGATAACCCCTCAAACCAGTTCCCACCTGACCAGAAGCCCCGCTAAAGGGGACACAGCCTCCCCCAACCACCCTCTAAGCTGGGCTGGGAGCACCCCTCCACTCTGGCTCCCTCCCCATCACCCCTGCCTTCTCCCACAGTCCCAAGATGCCTGCACCCCACCAGACAGCTCCGTGGGCTCTGGCCCAGCCCAGTCTGACCCTAGAAGCAGAGGGGGGCTCCTTTGCTCCCCTGCTGGGATGTTTTCAGTAACATCACAACAGTAATGACACTGCATCTGCCAGTGTCCACGCAAGCATTGCTCCTAAGAAATAAGTCAGGAGGAGAAAGACAAACACTGGGTGATTCCAGCATATGTGAGATAGAAGAAAACAAAGACACAGACAAAATCAGAGCTAAACAAACCCTTGGATTCTGAGTGCAGAACAGAGGCTGCAGCGGGAAGCTGGAGGGGAAGTGACGGGGTGGGGAGTGGGCGTTTTGCTGGTGGGCAGAGCAATAGGTAACATGCACCTGAGAAGGTGTCAACTGACACCCCTAAATCGTATGCAGTGTTGTGACCCAATGTCACCACCATAAAAAAAATTAAAAATAAAAGAATTCTCTCTACTAGACAGATGAGAGAGTTGACAATGGACAAGAGAAATTTGCTCAGGAGAACTCAGCCAGCCCGAGGCAGAGCTGACACCATAGAGAGGCCTGGGAGTGAGCGGGGCCTCTCTCTCTCTCTCTCTCTCTCTCTCTCTCTCTCTCTCTCTCTCTCTCTCTCTCGGAGAAGCAGAAGCCACGGGCCTCAGGGCTGCCAGGCCTTGGAGCTGTTGGAGCCGAGCTGAGAGCTAAGGCCCTTTCACCCGGATGTGGCCTGCCTCTCTCAGCCTGGTGACCGCATCCTAAGGCACCAAGGGCCTCAGCAAAAGCCCAGCAAGAGGGACGGAACGGGGAGGGGGAGGGGAAAGAGCTGGATCACTCAGACCCTCAGCCTCCATCCCACTCTTTCCTGTAGCCTTTGGACGACAATGCAAAGGTCTCTCTGTGGGTTCCCGCTGTGTGCCCAGCACTGTGCCCAGCTAAGCTGTGCAAGGGGACTGATGAACACAGTCCTGGCCCCATCTTGGAGGCACCGAGAGGCTAGCAGAGGAGCAGGGAACTCCTGCATGGCAGGTGGCCCCAAAGCTGAGCCCAGAGCCAGAGCATCAAGGTGGCTGACCTGGCTTCCTGCACGGGAGCTTTGCAGCAGGGGCTGATTACCCAGAGACCTCCCACAGGTCGCCCTCATGGCGTGTGGCCACTCCCAGAAGTGCTTACAGTGGTCAGAGTCCAGAGCCCTGGCGGATCCTACCAGAATCACAGGCTGTCTCCAGGGCCCCTCCCCTTGGGCCAGAGGGTGAATGGCACTGGGGGCAGCCTCATGGCCCCAGTAGAACCACGGCCAGCCCCAGCCTGCTGGTAGTGGTGAGACCACATGAGTCCCCACAAAAGCCTCCCCCAGCTCCCCATCCCAGCCCCGTCATGCCCAGTGACTCACACTGCCTTTCCAGGCCCAGCTTTCCCTGCTGATGTCACCGTCATACCCACCCCTTCCCAGCAAACCCTGGTGAACCTCTCTTTCCTCTGCTCCATCTTATATCCTCAGAGTCAAGAACACTAAGTGCTGGAAAGGATCTTGGGGCGTTTCTAGGGAAACTGAGCCCCGCTAGAGCCAGGGGTGTTTTCTGGCTCACAGGCTGCAAAGCACTTAGAACTCGGCTCTGACTTAAAGGAGCTGGTTTAGGGCTCCATCCGGGTGGCAGGCCCCGCTCTGCCAGTCACTAAGCTCTTGACCCTTTCACTTGCCCAGGGAGCCAGAAATCAGGGTCTGGACTCTCTGGCTCCATGACTGGCCTCTGGGCACTGCTGTGCCAGGAGAAGCTGGAGATGGAAGTTTCACCCCAGTCTCTCCAATTGCCCAGGTGGGGAGTGGACAATTCTTCGTCAGAACATTCTGTGGCTTCAGAGAAAATTGGGGCAGGAGCAAATCCTGCCAGGAGGAGACTGAGACACAGCCTCATAAAGGCCTGGAAAAGAAGGGGAAACCACCCCAGTCACAGAGCTGACAAGCCGCAGACAGGGTGCTCCCAGGTCACAGAGTCCATGGACTTGAGGAAGGGCAACCTGGGAATGGCAGTTGTCACAGTGTGTTCTTCCTGGGGAACCAGCCTCGCCTGTGAGAATACGTTAGAAGCACAAGACACAAAACCTCCAGCTCCACCACAGGCCTACTGACTCAGCCCAGCAAGCCCTCCAGATGATTCTAATGCATGTGCTCAAGTTTGTTGCTGCCCTTAAAAATAGGACTCTGACTCAGTTTCTCTGCCTCCTGCACCAGCTTACCACCAGCTCAGAACTCTGCCCTGGACGCCACCCCACTCCCCTGGGACCTGCTCCCATGCCATGCACAGAGCTGATCTCCTCACTAGGGTACCAGGTCCTGCTCCTATAGCTCCAGTGCTGGCTGAGGTCATTTGTGGACAAACAGCCATTAGCATGCTGCAGCTATATAGTGCCTTGAGGTGCATGTGCACAGGCTGTTGACTGAACAAGGGCAGTGGGCCAAAGGAGCCAATGGAAGGATAAAATCCAGCTCACTTTCCACTTGCTCATGTCCCCCAGTGCTAGGCAGCATCCACCAGCTGGGGCACCTTTTTTAAAATTTGCCCAAAATGCCTTCTATGAACTAGTGCTCAAGTATCTCACCAGCAGGTGCAAGTGACTCTCTCCAAGGTTCCTCTGTTCTGAGCTAGGACTTCCCCTGCCTTGCCCATGTTTACACCATCTGCACCTCCATTGTTTCTTCATGTAGACATGGAACCGCACCCCATCCCCAAATTGGCCATGCCTGTTGCCGTCACATGTGCCCTAATTACTTCTGTCCTTGGAGCCTTTTGGCGAGATGGGTTGCTTCACCTCTCCTCTCCCAGCCCATCCTTGCTGACTCCTGTCATGTTTACGATGACATAATAACCAGCAGACAAAACATCTTTGTCAATTGAGGTTTGAGGTCATTTCATTACCACATCTCCTAAGACACCCATGGCGATGAGTGGAAAGGCCTGCCTTATATGGCCTGGCTGAGTGCAGGCCCTGTGGCGTCTGCCTCTCAGGACCCTGGGCTCCCTCAGGACCCTGGGCTCTGTCTGCCCCACGGGCAGCCCTCAGAGGCTGAAAACAATGGCCATCCTCGGCCCACCTGGAATCCTCCCAGCTCCTACGGGTGCGCTTGTGGCTGGTCTCTCGGCCGTGCAGCTCCAGCTCTGCTCTGTGGCTTCTGCTGGTTCGTTGGTTTTTTTCCCCCAGAAAATTGAACACGTGCCAGCTAGGTGCCTAACTTTTTTATTTTAACCACTTGGGATTAAGAAAAATCTGTCTGCACAGAATGCGGTTACCCTAGGGGAAGGGGTGGGGAGGGAGTGGGTAGAAGGAGCCAGGGGTTGGTGGCGGGCCTTGGGCGGTGGGCGTGGGGAGAAAAGGAAATCTCAGACTAATGTCGCTGCAAAAAAAAAAAAAAAAAAAAAAAAAACAAATCAGTTGCCATTTACAACAAAATGGAAGGAGTTTGAGGGAATCACATGTAGTGATGCAATTCAGAATGACAAATATTGGACATTTATTTAGCAGACAATTTGGCAAAGTAAAATACTTATAAAAATCAGCAGACATTAATAAATGAAGGGGGGCTCTGAGGTTAGGAGGGAGGGAACGTGGGAGGGGACCAAAGGCAGCTTAGGGGTTGGTGGTAGAGGAAAAGAGAAAAGAGTGTGCACAGACATTTCGGTGCTGAAAAGGGAAATGTCTTGGCAAAGACTGTCTTGTCCCCACAACCTGTGCTCCCTCTAGCTTTCCTGGTATAAGAACCCTAATACTCACCAGCATTCATGGCCCACCAGAATAAAACCAGCATTTCTCAGGTTTCACTGCAGAACATGAGCTACAGGGATGTGTACAACCTCAAGATGATACTCATAAAAATAAAATAAATATAAAATAAAATAAAATATTCCAAACAATGTATTCTTCTCTAGCTCCTGGATGAGATGAAAGAAGACACTGTCCAATCTTTCCTTGGGGCTTCTAGATAATAATTTTTCTCTTTCTTAGAAAAGTGCCTTTCGTAACTCAAATAGTGGCATGATCAGTGTAGAAAAAAGGAAAATACAGATCAACGAAAAGAAAAAAATGGTGCCACCTGGTATCTGCCCAGTCAAGGTCATGACTGATGACTCTTGTATAACTTCCTGGGCTTTCTTCTAAGCAAACACACTTCACCAGTTTGGGGCACAAAATTCATTCCCTCCTATTGACTCAATAATTGCTTCAGCATCATTTGCTGGTGTTAACCAGAAACCTCATTTCGCACCCACTCCCCCTAGGAACTTGGGGGAATATTCACAAGGAGCAGAGGGAACTGCAAAGTCCCAGGGGACCTCTGGCGTCTGGTGGCCAAGGGTGCTGGGAAACTCCCACTGTCCACCCCACCCCCACCCCACTTCTTAATCACAGCTGCTAGAGCATCATGTAGGACCAAGAGGCAGAGAGCAGGGCCAATGGACATCTCTCGAAGCAGCTCTGCCCTGCACGTGCACCAGATTCATTCCAGGGGAAGGTTTGCTTGGTGTGGTCTTGGGGAGCCCTTCTCCTCACCCTTTATCTGCCTTCTCATTTCCCCAGCTCAGTCCTCCCCAGGGTCCTCTGTCTTCCTGACTCCAGCTTTTCCCCTTCAATCTGCCCAGCTGCTGTTCCCTTACTCTTCTCAGGCAGTGTTAGGTGTCAGTGTTCTGCTCCAGAACCTTCAATGACCCCCACTTGTGATGAAGTGAAGTTCAAACCCCATGGCCCTCACGCAAGGTCTTCTGTGGTTAGGGGACCATGTCCCTGGTTACCTGCCCTTGTGAAAAAAGGTGGCCCAGTTTGGACAATAAACGGTGCAGTCAGCCTGTCTCCAGTCCACTCCCAACCCCATGCTCTAGGCCACTGGCCGCCATGTCTCGAGGAATCCTCCAAGTCAGTGGTTCTTAAGTCTGGTTGCTCATTAGAATCACTTTTAATAAATACTGCTGCCTGGGCTCACCCTGAATCAACTGAAACAGAATCTCTAGGGATAGGGCCCAGATGGGGGTCATTTGCTGAGCCCTTAGGTGACTCTGATGTGCAGACAGAGTTGAGAAATGTTGACCTAAGGAAGAGGTCATCTGGGCGCACCTCAGACATTTCCAACACCGACTTTAACTACTCCTGTTGATCACCCACTTCAGTTCTACCCAAGCCCAGCTCCGATGCTACCTCCTCCTTCTTCTTTACCGACCCTGAGCTGGAAGGTGCCTCCCCAAGCCCCACCTCTAGCTCTCTCCCTCTACCTGCCCCCTGCATTATGCAGTCTCAGGACCTATGATTTGCCGCGTCTGTGAGTTCTGCAAGGTGGGTCACATTTTATTAATCTCTGGGACCCCAGGACCAGACCCAACTTGGAGATAAGTTTCCAGCACTCAGCTGAGTGACAGTCACTGCTGGTCTTGAACTTGGATGGCACCACCCACCCCCAGATGGACACCATGCTGCTCCAAGTTGACTGTCCTTTCCTGTGTTTGTGAACTCATTCACTCACTCATTCATTCACTCATTCACTCATTCATTCATTCATTCTGCTTTGTGCCAGATGCTATCTTCCCCAACCCCCTCTTGATTCCCTGCACTATCGGAGAACTCATTTCCATGCCCTGGGCAGTCCAGAAAACCATCTTGCACATAAACGGTGCTCAGCAAACACTGATTAATAATCAACAAAATGTGATATGTCACATTGATTCTATCACAATGGAATATTATTGAGCAATAAAAAGAAATGAAGTCCTGATGCATGTTACAGATGGATAATCTTTGAAAACAGTACGTTGAGTGACACATGACACAATCACATGACATCTTTTCTATGAAATAGACTAGACAAATCCATAGAAACAGGAAACAAAAACAAATCAGAGGCTAGAGGGGAGGGAAATTGGGATTAACTGCTAATAGGTATGGGGTTTCTTTCTGGGAGGTAGAACTGTTCAAGAATTGGACAGTGTGGTGGTTGCACAACCTCGTGACATGCTCAAAACCGCTAAATTGTACACTTTTAATGGTGGGTTTTATGGCATGTGAATTATATATCAATTAAAAAGAAATATTGCTGGTGGATTTTTCCTCCTTGACCCAGTTCACAAGAATCACCTGGAATGTTTGCTAAGAGCTCGGTTTCCCAGGCCTCCCCAGGGGATTCAGTCTGGGCCGATGGAGCAGAGCCCAGGAATCTGTATCGATGGCACATTTCTCAGTGCCCCTCAGTCCTTCCCTGTTCCCCCAAGGACTTGGGTCAGGGCATTTCTGAGCCAACCTCAGACCCTCAGAAGACAAATAAAATTCTTTAACCTATTATTTCAGGAAAAAAGCTGAAGATTTCAAACACAACTGAAACTTTGTTTTTAGTCTGCTTCTTATTAAAAACAGACCGGGACCTAAAGAAACCCCATCAGGGGTAGGTAATGAAGTAATCATGATCATAATAAAGGAACAGGATGGAAAAACTGACTGGCCTCAAGCAAACCACAAAAAAAATTGTCTTCTGCCTCTACTGCTCCACTGAGCCACTCAGATGAAAATTTCCCACTAGCCACACGGAGAGCTTAATTTGGGGAAGGAAAACTAAACATTAGTAAACCACTGCTCAGTGCCCCCTGTACAAATACATACCTACAGACACCCACTCCTAAACAGCCAAAATTCTAATTTTTGGTATGTGCTCCGTGATTAGGGCTTTCTCGGGGGTTACAAGGAAGCAGAGTTGTAAATCGGTATTAGAATGTGATCAAAAGGGATGTCTGCAGGCAATTATTCTGTTTTGAGGCCAGCGTCAGAGGCACCGACTTTAAAGTGCTGGCTCGGTCACGTGATGCACTCACCAATACACACACACACACACACACACACACACATACTACTCTGGTCTCCAAGAGGGAGAAGACAAAGGCCTGGGTTTTATCATGGTTGCTTCTTAGTTCCAGGACAGAGTCTCAGCCCTAAGCAACAAGAGGTTCCTTTGCACCATCTCCTGGGCTCTTCCTTAACCGTGAAGGGGTTAAGTCTTGCTAATGACCTCTTGTCTAGAAAATTGCGGTTTCTATCATTTGAGAAGAGTCACCCTTTGCTTAACAGAACTTCACTGAACAAAACTTCAAGATGAATAAGGGGCTCATCTGTGATGCACGTCTGCTGAGCTCCAGGACAGTGCTCCTCTCTTTCACATTTTCACATTTCATTCACGAGTCATTGCAACACTGCACCCCCGCCCTGCCCCAGCCCTGCCCCCCATGGGATAGCAAAGAATAGGAGGCTCAGGACGATGGTGATTAACCGTCCTCCTGGTCACAAGGTAAGTGGCATTGTTAAATCAAGGCGGTGATCTCAAAGGCATGAGAGAAAAAAACTATGGAAGGTGGTGTCCCGTGAGTCCATCACCTGGGGGCTGCCTGCGGAGGCTACTGCCATCTGTCATCCACGCCCATCAGAAAGCAAGACCCATTTTGTCAGATAATGTCTGGAGAATCAGCGCTTGTCGAGTCCAGCAAGCCACTAACCTCGGCGGGGCAGAAAACCAAAGGGTTGTGTTTGGGGACAGAAGTGTTGTCACAGCCACACCAAGAGACCGCACGGCTGGCATCCTAAGGCCAGTGTCTGGTCTGGGTCCCATCCCTAAGCCTCGTGTGGCTGCTTCCCTGCTCTGAGTCCAGCAAAACAGCTGCCCTGGAGGGCTCAGGGCTCCCTGCAGCCTCGGGCCCTTGATCTGCCCACCAGACTCACAAGGCCAGGCTCTCCGGTAAACACTCACCAGGGGAAGCGCATGGGGACAGGGACTTGGGCTGACTGGCTGGCCCTGTGTTCACATG